GCAGATGTTGGGAGCAAGTGCGGGGGGCCCATCCCGGCTCCGGCAGCAGCTGGGGAGGTTTTAGCAGAGCAGGCAGCAATGAAGCCGATGGGATTTGAAGACATTCGCTCAGCCCTTCGCACTGCAGGGCCGGGACAGGGCTGCGTGTCCAGCAGAGACTCCCGGTCACTGGGGTCCGACCGGAGCAAGGAGCCTCTGGAATCCAGCGCGACTCCCGACGGCGCCCTGGGTGTTTCCACTGTAACTGCCCCCAAGCAGGGACCGGATGCACCGGAGTTTTGCCGTGCCGCTGTAGCCCCTCTGGCTGCGGCTCCCGCTGCGCCCCGCGCTGCACAGGGCTCTCCCGCCTCCCGCCCGGCCCCTCCGCGGTGGCTCCCGGCAGGTGTCCCGTGTGGCTGCTCGAGTGCAGTCACCTCGGTGCATCCATCACGCTCACCCAGATGTGCGCGGTCACCTCCAGGCATCCACTGCCATCAGCCAGATGTGCGCGGTCATGCCCATGCACCCACCACCCTTCATCCAGATGTGCAGGGCTGCCTCTGCATCCAGATGTGCTCAGTCACCTCTGTGCATCCGTCCCTGTGGTGCACGGGCCCCTCCACACACACGCGCTGCTCCCCATTTCCTCCAGGCTGGCTCCGTCCCCCTGACAAGGGGGCACCGGGACAGGGGGCGGTGGCGGCCCCGGCTCAGGGCTGCCCTGTGTCCGCAGGCGTCGTGGAGATCCGGTCGGTGCGCGTGGGCGTCGTGGCCATCCGAGCGGTGCACAGCGGCTTCTACCTGGCCATGAACAAGCAGGGAAGGCTCTATGGGTCGGTAGGTCCAACGGCGCCGACCCGGAGCAGGGCCGCGGTGCTGGCGGAGCACGGGGTTTGCTGGGATCCCAGATAACCTGGGTTAGAGCCCCAGAGCAGCCCCTGGCTCTGTGCGCTTCTCATCCCATGGAGTTGGGGGGGCCCAGGCGTCCTGCCCACCCCATGCGGCCCCACTCTCCCCCTTCCCTCCCTGCCAGAGGGAGTTTGGCCCCAGCTGCATGTTCCGGGAGCGCATCGAGGAGAACGGCTACAACACATACGCGTCCCTGCGCTGGCGCCACCGCAGCCGCCCCATGTTCGCGTCGCTCGACGGCCGCGGGGGGG